GAATAGAATAGAATAGAATAGAATAGAATAGAATAGAATAGAATAGAATAGAATAGAATAGAATAGAATAGAATAGAATAGAATAGAATAGAATAGAATAGAATAGAATAGAATAGAATAGAATAGAATAGAATAGAATAGAATAGAATAGAATAGAATAGAATAGAATAGAATATCTCACGAAGATCTCACCATCTACACCCTACTTTGACAGATTCCACGGCTTGTAGTGTGAAACGTTGACAACTTTATTCACACAAAAGCACCACGGAAATTAAAAAAAGTCAAAATTTAAGGAAAACAAAAAACACTCAAATCAATGCAAGCGAATATAATATTTCCGGAGTTACCGTGAGCAGTTAAACGTCTATACCAACATCGATTATTGAAAAGGATTTTTAGGAATAATTTATTGATCTTTTACGGCGTAAAAACGCTCATYAATCAAATTGAAATTACCAAAACCAAACAGCTAAACARAATGGTTTGAAACAGCAGTGATCYTGGGGATATTGGACAGTGAAATGGTTTCCAGTGATTCGCCRATTATTGTGGACAATAATGTTGAAATTGAATGTTTTCTAATACAAAACCCTAGAGTTATAATATTCTTGAAGATGCTTTAGATTCACATCGGCCAGCTGATTGGATTTCTTCGTAAAAATGATGAATAAAATCGTTTTTCTTCATAGATTAATAATAAATTGTTAATGGCTAAAAACATAAAATTCTTACCAACTTGCTCGTCCTTGTACAAAGCGTCAATATTTTTATCGATTTTCACAGTTCGCTAAAGCGATTTTTAATAACAAATGGCACATCTGGAAATCGACGAGTTTCCTCAAATCTGATTACAAACAGATTTAAAAGTGCTGAAACATAATTGATGGAGATCAACTTGGGCGATGACGTAATTACGAGATAATGTCAAATAATGATCCYTTTGTATTTCAAAGGAAAACATGGTGTATTTTTGTAATGATRGAAAGGTCTAGACCTGGATTAAAAGAGTTCATATCAGAACCAGCTCAGTGCCGGGTAATCTGCCCAGCAACTGCTCGATATGCGGGGTGCTGCAAGACACAATACAGAGCTTTATAGGATTAGTATGTGGGCGATATCCGCTGCGAAACTTAACAACCCTTGCCTACAAGTTGCAAAAGGATAGTCAGGATAGATCACTTTGAACTCATCCAGCATTCCAAAGCAAATAATTACTCAAAAAATATTACCACTATTGAAAAGTTTAGAAAAAAATTGCAAAGTCCTTTCACTGAAATAAGAGTACACCAATTTCGGCAAATTTAAAAAGGAAGTAAAGTAATCATAGTGCCATGCGGTCTTCATATTCATATCTTTACATTATTCTATTACCGCAACCTTAACATCTATTTCACCCCGACCTGCTCCCAGTCTGGCCTTGTAGCTCAGCTGGTAGAGCATCGGTGTACAAATCCGAAGGTCGTGGGTTCGAATCCCAGCGAGGTCGGAAATTAATTTTTCCGAATTTATTCCTAAGGGACTTCTCCCGGAATATCCTCCTTCTAAGCACTATAACTTTCTTTCATTTCTATAAAGTAATGAAAGACGTCACCTATGTTACCGCTCTTGAAACCTGCACCATACATTTCTCGGTGAAGTTTGGTGAATTTGACATTTCGAATTTTAGGTCGTTCTTATAGATTCACGATTTTCCGGATTATTTCGCGCGAAATGTTTATTTTCTTCCCGATGCCGGAATATTTTTAAATGTTTTGTTGTTTTTTTTTGCACTAAATATGTTTGCGTGTTTCAATGATTATATTCCAAATAATATAGCATCAAAAATTCAAAGTCTTTGACTATCTCACACATTTTTTTTATAAATTTTTTGGCGTCCCGAGAGGCATCGATTGTGGTCGATTTTCTGAATAAAATGCAAGGGGAATCAACGTGGTCTGTTCTTCTAAATAACTCTAACTAAAGGGATTTTGAATTACATTGTTGATAATCTCACAGGAAAATGTGGCGACCTTCCTTCTTTAAAAATAATAATATTCCTAGAAAATGTTTTTATCGTCAAAAACCGCTTATATTTTTTCTAAATAGGAAATTTTTTTCCCCGGTCAAAAGTTCTTAGAAAGTATATATTCCTTACTTGGAGAGTTCCTTTTTCCTGAATTTCTCGCGTGCAGTCAGTTGACTTACAGCTGGCTGGGACATAAGAAAATATATATATTTCTACCAGGAACCGGAGGAATGAAAACATCAAAAGCAAATTAGGCCATATAATATAGATATTTTAAGTAATATAATTATAATATAATATAAAATAATTATAATTAGCTGAATTTTAGATTTAACTATATGGGTAACTAGGTAACTAGGTAACTAGGCCAAAACTATATTTGTTATTGAATCAAACATTCAAATTTTTTGATATCAATATTAGAACTTAAACTTTTAATCATAAATTCAATGCGGAAGGCCGTTTTTGAAGTATTCTATAAAGTTAATAAAGGTTTTCAAGATTGCGAGATTCTCTGTGCCTCTGAATGAAAGCTCTTCATGTACTGTGCACATCAAATGTTATAGCAATAACAACAACTGGTTTGAAGACCATTTCTAACTATTCAAACTCAGTGCACTATCTAAAAAATGCACATCATTTCTAGATATACAGATAATTTGACCATCATTTAGTGATGTTATGAAATAGGGATGACCATCAAGTTTGTCTGACTTTCCTACATAACGACCATGCAAAGTAAACTTGTAGACTTCCATTGATCTAAAATCACACACCTAAGATTGTTGTCACAGTCAATAGCTAGACCAGCAGGGTAATGTAGCCGACCATCTGTGTAGTCCTCACCACCAATAGAGGTAATGGTAGTTGGTGACTGGTTGTCTGTCATCTTTATCACATTTACCACTGAGCCATCAGCACTAACATAAAACAGTCCATTGTGTGTAACTACATCATATGGGCTTTGTTCTAGAGGTATTGTGAATTGATAAAGATAGTCACCATTCTTTGTGAACACCTGCACACGATTACTTTTATCACACACAATGATGTTAGAATCACCATCAACATGTACCCCACGGGGTTGGCTAAACTGTCCATTCATGTTGCCTAGACAACCAAAGGTTCTAGTAAGTGTACCAGAGGTTGTGTCCACTATGCATATTCTATTGTTGTTGTAATCAGCTATGACCAGATCTGTTTCATTCAGAAATGCTAAACCACTTGGACCATTCAGCTGTCCTTGTCCACTGCCTTTACTACCATATGACAATAACGAATCCCCATCCATGCTGAACACTCTGACACAACAAGCCTTCCAGTCTGCTACAGCAATCTTAGTGTTTGATTTGTTCACTACAATACCTGTAAAGTTCTTCGATCCAGTATTCAATGCTTCTTTCAGCTTAGTAATTTTGGTCATTTCCATAATGTGCTGTGGTTTGACATCCATCACTAGTGGACTGTTCGATACAGGATTTCCATGTACTTGAACCTCTGCTGTCAACTGACCAGGAACACGAGGAGTAAAGGATACTTCTGTCAGGCCATCAGTTGTCACTTGTTTCTTGCCTACTTGAACGTCATCCTCAGGAGTGATGTGTATTGTTACGTCATCTAGTTGGGGTTCACACAGTTCATCTTTATAAGTTCTAAGTGTCACTTTCAAAGTTGCATTTTTCATGGCTTCAAAACCATTTTCCCCTACTGCTTGCAGTGAGCTGTTGTTTGGGTCTGCTCTTTTGATGGCTTGTAGTATCAACCCTACACCCGAATCTACTTGCTCACAAAGTTGTTCATTAGGTTGAAATTTCATCCCACACAAGTCTTTTTCAAAGGCGTTGTAAGTGACTGCTTTCGAGCATCGTGTGTCTGATTGGAGGGCAATGATTTCACTTGCTGTTCCATTTTGAATGAAGTAATTGATGTATTCTTTCGCGGCAGGAGAGTGACGTATTATGCGTAAATTCCTGTCGGCCTTCGTCACGCTCTTCTGGACGGTATTCAAAAGTTCTTCTTCGTTATCGTCTAGTTTTTTCTTTAGCTGTTTTGTTAGTTTCTTGATTAGTTTTTGAGCTTTTTGTCCGTCACGTTTGATGTCAAGAGCAATTTGTTCTTGCTGTTTCTTTTCATACTCGTTTATTTCCATTTTCTCGATTTCTTCGAGGTTTTTAAACAGAGAATCTTTCTGAATAGCGATGAACTCCTCTAGCGATCTTGTTTTGTGGTTATTATGGTGATCTATCAAACATTTGTGACAGATCAGCTCGTTACAATCACTGCAGTACAATTTAACATCTTGATTGACATGTGATTTGCAAGGAGTTTCCTTTTTCAACATGGATTGAATGTCTTCCTTTGTCATTGCAGACAATGAAATAACTTTGTGATCTTTAATAAATATAGAATGATTGTTCAGACATTCGTCACACAACGACCGATCACAGTCGAGACATTGAAACGATGCATCGCTATGACTGGCAGAAACCGAGCAAACTTTCTGGTTTTCAATAAACGACAACACTTGAAGGATTCTTGAGTGAATGGGACTGATTTCTAAGTCGTCTACGTCGTTCAGTTCCTGTAGCTCGGTTAACGAAGTACAATGAGGAGGGTCCACAATAGGTTTTGCGGGATGCGGGATAAGCCGGTTTTTGATGGCGGGATTCGGGATCTGGACAAAAATTTCGACGGGATGCGGGATCTTAAAATGCAAGCGGGATCGGGATTTTGCGTTTTTTTTCGCGACGGGATCGGGATAACTCTAATAATTTGCTGCGGGATACGTGATTTCTGCGTCCTAAGTKTACCTATTAATTATTAGACTGCCTGTGCATTTTATTACGAGATATAACCTCTCTGACCTTTCTGTYCTTACTGGACGATTACTGGACAAAAGCGGACACGTCACGATAAAGGTATCTACATGCATGTGTAATAGTAAGGTCATATCAGGTATCAAAGCAACTTTTAACTAGTTATAATCGAAGGGGAGGAAATTTCCGAGAGTGATCAAATGGCTACGTTGAGTGGTGAAGCTGAATTTCTGTTGGGTAGAGTGACTAGATTTGGAAGAACCGTCCGTTTTAATAACAGACTTATGTTTTGAACAAGTCCAACAAGTTCGATGGATTGTCCGTATGTACATTCGAGTACAACGGACGGTTTTGACTGTCTCGTTTCTATTGTTTTGACTGTCTCGTCTCCATTCTAGCAACAAAATATTGACTGTTTTATCAAGTAAAGCGACCAAAATGAACACCACAAACAACACGAAATGAAAGACTGTTTTGTTAAGTAATGCTGCAAAAATAAACACCACAAAGACGAAATGAAAAACTGTTTTATCATTTAAAGCGGATAAAATAACTGGTTGCATAAAACATTTCGTACATGTACAGCCAAACAACGCAAGCTGAGGACGGTTAGATGAAAAAGAAGAGGGAAAATAGAGTCAATGATATGGAAGGTATTCCATTGATGTTATATTAAATTAATTATTTATGAAGAGAAAATTGCGGGATCGGGATTGCGACCTTAAAACTGACGGGATTGCGGGATTGAAAAAAAAAATTAGCGGGATTGCGGGATTGAAAACCCCCTATTGTGGACCCTCAATGAGGACACTCGAAGATGTTGACTTGACCATCAAGTTGTGCATTTGTCTTGATACAAGTCTTACAGAAAGTATGAAAGCATTGTAATAATTTAGGTTGAAACATAGTCTCATTACACAGTGAACACTGGACTTGAAGTTTCAGATCCTCGAGGAATGACTCCATCTTAGACGTATAAGCGAAGCGTTCACTTACCGCGTGTTCCGAGAAGAGATGCTGTGTGAAATCGTGGCTTTTCCGGGAAGTCTTGTCACGCTGTTGTCGTGACATTTTGTCAGTCACGCGTGTCTTAGCGGTTTGTGAGTTCCCTGTATCCGTAAAATCTACCCGGATTTGAAAATCGTTCTTTAGTACACTGGATATACTAGCATTAAAAAATCCCTAAACGTGAACCTGTCGAGAAGAAAATGTTTGCATCCACGACACTATTTGTGAATATACAAAATTTTCGTTATTTCGTGTGCTAGAGTTTAGATGCCCTAAACCATGGAATATTTTCTCTCCAGGAAAGGACTGGCTATGTAGGCTATAAATGAATGATTTCACAAAAAGACTTTAATGGGACTTTTTTCTGCTTTGTAAATAGATGTCCAGGCTGAATGAATGGTAAGCCAAGATTAAGCAATATTGATGTGGCAGAAGGATATGATCTACAGAGGGTGGAACATAGCCTTAGTGCTTAGAGGCTTTCCTTTCTGCCCCCAATAATGCTATTGGACTGCGATTTTTTTTACGTTATTTCAAACTTTCCGCCAGTTAGGAAAAAAGTCGCTCCGTAGAAATCAGGGAACTGGTACGAGTGTGACGTTTACTAATGAATCATCTCATAATGATGGAAACTATTGTGTGTAAAATATCCAGACATTTTGTTAAAACTTTTACTTTTTTGATCGTCCTGAGAAACATCAATTGTGGTCACCCTTGAGGGGCATCACCACGGACAGTTATGAAAATGCATTTGTGAACAGGGGAATTATGAGACCGATAATACCGATTGCTGAAATCGTATGTTAACATTCTGAGGATGTGTCAGTACAAAGCAATATTTCGGTCACGTGACGTCAAAATCACATTTTCCTGACTTGCGCACAATGGGCCATGAGACCTAGGCCCTACAAATCGTGTCTTTCTCTTTCCCATGACAAATTGCGTACGAGAATGAGACGACTGTGGACGAGTCAAGGAAATTGAAGTGGGCTGGCGGTAGAGCTAGGAAAGAACGAAACCTGTTTGCATGCTTCACAACCCCACATTTGGCGTTAGACATATGAATTGCGAACGAATTACCGCCTTTCAAAAATTTTGAGAAGCAATGTGCTAAGATTATCGATTTTTTACCCCACATACGGACTAATAACTAGACGCTCTTAGAGCGTCACTCGGTCAAGTCAAATCTGTACTATTCAGTTTGATATTTTGACAATTTATATTATAATATAATATATATAATATATAGTTTTCCAGTTGAGAAATGTGCGTGAGGTCCAAAGTGTCATAGGTTTCGATTTAGCCCTGACAACTGGCTCAAGGCCCGAATAGCATCAATTCATGGTTAAAACTCCATATTCCATTTTTTATAAGATTTAACCTAGAACTAGCGCCAATTGAACTTTGAACAACCCGCCTCAGATGGGACTTGTAAACGTCAAGAGCAAAATAGGTAATATAATATAAATATTATATCGTAGCTTAAGTAATGCAGTTACTAGATTAATGGGACTTTCCGAATTAACCAAAACTTTGTTTGTTATTGAATCACTCGTCACAGGTATTCTTTCCCTCGCGCAATGGATCATGGAAATTAGGCCAAAGAAATCATTTGTCTTCTATTTCCCATGACAAATTGCGTACGAAAAAAGCCGACATTGGACGAGGCAGACCTCGAGAAAGGAAAATGAAGTGGGCTGGGGCTAGAGTTAAGGCGAAGGATCCAAAACCTGCTTGCATGCTTCAAAGCCCCACATTTGGTGTTAGCCAGATCAATTGCGGGCGAATAAAAGACTTTTAAACATTTACATGTAAAGAAACAATGTGCCCAGATTATCGATTTTACCTACACTAATAACTAGACGCTCTTAGAGCGTCACTCGCTCAAGTCAATTCAAGTCTTTATTGCACTGTTCTGTAAAAAGATAAAGTTAACACCTTAAAAAGTACGTGAAACGTCAGTAAGTTTTCACCTACATTTTACGGTGTTTTACATTTTACGGTGTTAAATTTCTCTTTTTACACAACTGTTTCCTTGAAAAAACCGGCGCAGCTCAAACTAATTTATTGCTGGTTTCAACCATTTTTCTTTATTGGACTATTCAGTTTGATATTTTGACAATTTATTTCAGATTTCTATTGTTTTCTTCCCCTTTTCAATGAAAACAATGATCACAGTTAAATGTGCGAGAGGGCCAAAGTAGCATACATGTAGCTTTAGAGTTGCCCCCATAACCGGCTGAAAACCTGATTAGCTTCATTACAGGGTTAACTCCATACATTTCGGCCCAGAGTGAACTTGAAAACATCATATGCAAATCAAGTAATATAATATATATATCATTTTGTAGAACAAAGTAGACTGCAAACGCAGGGAAACCATGAAATATAATCAAACTAAATAATAAAAAATAGAGCAGAGTCAGTTGAACCATGAAATCATAGAAACAACTTATAAATACTTAGTAACTAATAGGCACTATTTAGAGACTATCACTGAACCAGAAAAGTACAATGAGATTACTTTGATTGTTATAGTGGTCAGTCTTGGGTATTGTTTATCGGATCAAATAAACTGTTCTTCAGTGCTATAACGACAATTAGGAACTAATAGTGACTATTAATTAGTACTTTTTAGTGTCTATTTCATGGTTCATGTGACTCTGCTCTAGCGGCTATATTAGAGACAATTTGTCAGTATTAGTGAACCAGAATGCAATCAAGATAAATCCACATGTTACTTACTGCTTTATTGATACTAAAATAATTTAGACATCTTGCAAAGTCACCAACATTAAAACACCCAATGGAGTTTCTGAGAAATAATAGTCTCAAATTGAGGTATCAGCTTAGTTATTTGAGAAAGTGCACTCCGCTCCAAGAAGTACTCATAATCTGACCATCACTTGATACTGTTATACGGTTGGGATCACAATCCAGTGTATCTGTCTTTCCTACATAACGACCATCCAAAGTAAACTTGTAAACCTGCCTTGATTTATAATCACACACCAGAAGATTGTTGTCATTGTCAATAGCTAGACCAGCAGGGTCATGTAGCCGACCATCTGTGTAGTCCTCACCACCAATAGAGGTAATGGTAGTTGGTGACTGGTTGTCTGTCATCTTTATCACATTTACCACTGACTCATCAGCACTAACATAAAACAGTCCACTGTGTGTAACTACATCACATGTGCTTTGTTCTTCAGGTATTGTGAATTGATAAAGATAGTCACCATTCTTTGTGAACACCTGGACACGATTACTTTTATCACACACAATGATATTAGAATCACCATCAACATGTACCCCACGGGGGTGACTAAACTGACCATTCATGTTGCCTTGACAACCAAAGGTTCTTACTAAAGTACCAGAGGTTGTGTCTACTATGCATATTCTATGGTTATTGTAATCAGCTATGACTAACTCTGTCTCATTCAGAAATGCCAATCCCAGTGGACCAAACTTCTTTCCTTGTCCTCTATCTTTACTACGATATGACAGTAACAAATCCCCATCCATGTTGAACACTCTGACACAACAAGCCTTCCAGTCTGCTACAGCAATCTCAGTGTTTGATTTGTTCACTGCAATACCTGTAAAGTTCTTCGATCCAGTATTCAATGCTTCTTTCAGCTTAGTAATTTTGGTCATTTCCACAATGTGCTGTGGTTTGACATCCATCACTAGTGGACTGTTCGATACAGGACTTCCATGTACTTGAACCTCTGCTGTCAACTGACCAGGAACACGAGGAGTGAAGTTTACTTTGATTTGGCCATCAGCTGTCACTTGTTTCTTGCCTACTTTGACGTCATCCTCAGGAGTGATGTGTATTGTTACATCATCTGGTGGGGGGTTACACAGCTCATCTTTATAATTTTTAATTGTCACTTTCAAAGTTGTTTTCTTCATGGCTTCAAAACCATTTTCCCCTACTGCTTGCAGTAAGCTGTTGTTTGGGTCAGCTCTTTTAAAGGCTTGTATCAACCCTACACCAGAATCTACTTGCTCACAAAGTTGTTCATTAGGTTGAAATTTCATCCCACCCAAGTCTTTGTTAAATGTGCTGTAGGCAACTGCTTTTGAGCATTCTGTGTCTGATCGGGTGGCAATGATTTCGCTTGCTGTTCCATTTTGAATAAGGTATTTCATGTATTCTTTCGCTGCTGGAGAGTGAAGTATTATGCGTAAATTCCTGTTGGCCTTCGTCATGCTCTTCTGGATGGTATTCAAAAGTTCTTCTTCGCTATTGTCGATTTTTTTCTTCAGCTGTTTTGTTAGTCTCTTGACTTGTTTTTGAGCTTTTTGTCCATCACGTTTGATGTCAACAGCAATTTGTTCTTGCTGTTTCTTTTCATTCTCGTTGGTATCCATGTTCTCAATTTCTTTGAGGTGTCTAGATAGATCATCTTTCTGAGCAGCGATGAACTCCTGTAGCGATATCATCTTGTGGCTGTTGTGATGAAGTTCTATCAAGCATATCTGGCAGATCAGCTCGTTACAGTCACTGCAGTACAACTTAACATCTTGATTGACATGGGATTTGCAAGGAGTTTCCTTTTTCAGCATGGATTGGATGTCTTCCTTTGTCATTTCAGACAATGAAACAACTTTGTGATCTTTAGTAAATATAGAATGATTGTTCAGACATTNTGTTATATATCTTCACTTTTTCACAGCTTCATTTATTACTTAAAGTCATATGAATAAAATTAGTGTTAAATGTATGATTGACATTTTCAGAGTGGTATGGTAGCTGTAGGGACATACAAAGGTCTTGTTCAAATATGGGACATTAATGCTTCTTCGCCAAAACGTGTATCAACCATGGAAGGACATTCTGCTAGAGTTGGTATGAGTTCCTTTGTTTTTTACCCACAGCACAGCAGAGTGTAAATTTAAGAACAACCATCCTTTGGCCCATATTATACCTACATGTAAAGCTAAGACTAGTTCTTGGGCTCTTTTTAAAACAAACACAAAGTGCCCAGAGTGAACGTTGAACATTTCAAACAGTATTTTTCTAACAGGCCACTCTTTTCTAGATATTAACTTAATGTATTTAATTAAATACTGTATTTATCTGTTCATTCCCATGTAACTTTTATGTAACCTTTACCAATTGAAKTAAAGACACCTGGAGCTGAGTCGAAAGTCTTTTGGACGTTGAAAGTCATGTCCAAGTYATGGYAAAAGTCAGGAAAAGTCAAGGAATTTTGTTGATTTTTCCACAGGTGCRTTAGCATGGAACGGGGATACACTTTCATCAGGAAGTCGAGACAGACTCATTTTACAAAGAGATATACGAACACCATCTTCTATCGAAGCAAGACTTGTTGGTCATAGACAAGAGGTACCTACATAGACCTTACACAAGAAGATCTTTTGTTGATTTAAATTCATKGGAATATACTACTTTCATCTGGAGGACAAAGTGGGAAATTCTAGTTCCCAAGAAAGCAACCATTTACTATTGCCCCAATGCACCTTATTCCAAAATGGCTGACTAGCCCTTGATGTCTCGTTTTCATAAAATTATTCTTTTGTCTTTGAGCTTGAGTGAAAAGAACAATTTTATGAAAACGAGACATCAAGGGCTAGTCAGCCATTTTAGATTAAGGTGTATGTGGTGTAGATTAGACAACATCAACTTACAACAACATTAACAAATGAATGTGCATAATTCAGTACAATTCAGTAGTTAAATCTGTACATTTGTGAATACTTAAACTAAATATCATTCCATGGATTTACAGTTTACATTTTGTTGTTTTGTGCAATTTTTACAAGTTGGTTCGTTCATCTGTCACATGTAATGAATGTAGCTCTAACAGATGAACTTATGACAGGTTTGTGGTCTCAAGTGGTCCCCTGACAGACAACATTTAGCTTCAGGAGGCAATGATAATAAACTATTAGTATGGAGTCAATCAAGTACCACTCCTCAACAGCAGTACAGTGAACATACTGCAGCAGTTAAAGCAATATCATGGTCACCACATCAGGTTGGTATTAGTTGAAGATGAAATGATNCAGGCAGTCCAACCCTTGAATTTTTTTCTAATTCAGCATGCAAGAGGTGGGCTGCCTGTGGTAAAGTAATATTGAGATACAACAAGGAAGCAACAGCAAATGTTGAATAAGTGCCCTTGATGTAGTGTTGTTCATAATGTGCACTAAATTCTTTATTCTTTTTCTTTATAGGTTTGCAATCTTGCCTGGTCTAAACACTCTAATGAACTAGTAAGTGCAATCATATTTCCAGTACTCTGCTTAAGAAATATAAAACGGCGCGCGTCTCTGTCCTCTGATATAAACACGGTGGGAGAAGCTTTCTCTTGCTTTTCGAATTTTTATAAAAATTTTTGAGCGAAAAGAAAATTTTGCCGGTAAGCCATGTCTCTGTCCTCTGATATAAACACGGTCGTCAGCCAATCAGGGCATGCGTTATATATCAAAAATTTTATAAAAAGTGTTTTAAAGTTTGTAGATCACTAGTACATCATTCTATGAAAGAATTATATTTTTACCAATAGCAGGACATGCTCACTGTTCTGACACTATCATGTCTCGCATGCACGCTCAATTGAAAGAAAAGAATGATTTTCACTAATTAAATAAAGTGTCAATAAGAGGACATACAACTCAAAACCRTACTCAATTTGTGAAGTACACAGTAAAAAGAGAGTTGTGCCTTATGAATTGCAGTTAAATATATGTCCTTGAGTGTAAACTAAAGATCATTACAAGTCAAAAAAAAAAATCCTAAGCTATTATTTATTTTTTTAGGTTAGYACACACGGATATTCACAAAACCAGATTCTAGTGTGGAAATATCCATCACTTACTCAAGTAGCAAAACTCACAGGGCATTCCTACAGAGTATTGTATTTGGTGAGTAAACAGAGAGGTGATTTTGAAGTGTTTGCATGTTTAATACTGTACTCATTATAATAGATAACTTAGTTTTCTTAATTGGTAACAATCCACAAAAAAACACTGGATAATGTGCATTATTTGTCATCTTGTTGTAGCTTCATTTACAATTCTTTTGTACATCATCACTAAAATATCTATCGTTGACTTTTTGGTTATGTTCTGATTAATCCAATTTCATCCACACAGGCCGTTTCCCCAGATGGAGAAGCAATCGTCACTGGAGCTGGAGATGAGACCCTTCGCTTCTGGAGTGTTTTTAGTAAGGCACGCTCGCAAAAGGTAACACAGAGAATAACATGTTATAAATGATTATAGAGTGAAGAAATTTAAACAAAAGACAGCTGGCCTTTGTTTCCTTTGTACATCTACATCACAGTTCCCTCGGTGCCATCTTGAAAGCTGACAATGTCTAGTTTCATTAAAGAAAAAGGACCAGTACTAGTGAACATGCAATCGCCCGTTCTGAAATTCAAGGGACTGGTGACTAGTAACAAACTTGATACCATTTAAAGCAATCAAAAAACAGATACCAGGACAAGAAAGAGCATACTAAAATTAGTAAAGCTGCTGAGTTTGAGAGTATTCGGATTAATAATTACAGAGTTTCAAGCGTTTAAAACTCGAAAAAAYKWCAAAGAATGYATGGAGSTYTTGAGCAGCGTCCCCAAAAACCATACATTCTCTCTTATTTTTACAAATTTGAAAAAATTCCTACTTGGTGAGTATTCAACCATATATGCTCAAACTTGGCAAGAACACTTATTTTATTGTGGTCTTTCATGTGGTGAGGTTCATTTTTCGATGAATGTGATATTTTCATACTTGTTCCCAGTCTCCTTTTGAATTTCGGAATGGCCCATGATAAAAACCTTCCATGCCCATAGCTACATGGTATAGTCTATATATCATGGGTTCACAATCATTTAGAGCTCACCTATTTCATGATTCAAGGGCATTGTTGCTTTTTAAGATGGCACAGGGTACTGTCGAGAGACCATTGTGGCTCTAATTCATGTTATTTCCTTCTTCTAGGAGTCCAAATCAGAGCTGAATTTATTTTCAAGAATTCGGTGACCATATACATTGTATATTTTATTATCTTGTAGTTGTACAGTCAAAAGCCATAAGAATATTTGTAAATAGAGGTGTGTTATAGCTAGAGAGGGTTTATACAGTTAGAATATCACTTTTAGCAAATTGTTTAGTTCGAATTATGTAAGAATAATAAGAAATAATTGTGACAAAAATATGTGAATACTAGAATATATTGTATTGCCATCAGATTCTGAATAAAAGAATAAACAATAGTGTATTGAAGCCTAATTTTTATTTGTTGTGAATTGTCATGGTAGGATTAGTAGTTGTAGTATCTGTGGACCTCTGGCTCTACTGGCATTGTTCTTACAGCAGAAATCGTTGCATTGCAACCTCTTTGTTTTGAAGTTTGTCTGGATTTTGTTCTCTCTTTCAATCTGAGGGGCGGAGCTTTTCGAAAACTCGTTCAATCATTGGCTGATTAGTATCAAGCTCCTCCCCCAAGTCGCAGAAAAACCTAAATCCCAAGTATTTTCTTTGGACATCGAAGTCGCGATGCAACGGTTTCTGCTGTAATACTTTTTGGAATCTTTGATAGCACTGGAATGATTATAATATTCTAATAATAGAGTCAAGCTAAAGTGCATCTGACAGCAAGCTTCTATAGTGTTTCACTTGCCATCTTCATAGAGCTTTGAACATCTATCAATAAGAATAACTAACATCCACTAGACTGACCRATGTTTGCAAGCAATTCAAGCAGTAGTCTAGTCCAGTCTTGGCCTCTCCTTTCCAACAGCTTATGGAATAACAGGGAAAAGAGATTCTGCACACAGTTGGAGAGGAGAGGCCGGGACTGGACTAACAGAAGACAGCTGGTTGAGTAGCAATGCAAGTGGCCACTGAAACTGTTTGCATACCAAATTTAATATTTTGGCTTTTTTATCTTTCTTTAACTTTCTACAAAAAAAGCTCCATTTCTAAGCCAAAAGAMCTGCAAAGAAACCCCTTTTTAAAGCTACGCTAGGCCCTATGTCACACAAAATTAACTATATTTTGTGATACCACAGGTGGCTACAAAAGGTTTCTCCAAAAAAAGACAATTTGTGATTTACATTCAATTCCTTGAATCCATCCAATCGTACCTTCAAAACATACTTAGATCATATTCAAGAGTTTATCCACAAGATCAACTGAATCAATGTTTTCTTCCCTGTGTAGTGTTAATGCTCTCCTCAATGCATTAGACCTGCTGTAACGAGCAGCATATCCATTTAATTTTGCAGCCGTAAATGAGTCCATGAACTGCTCTTTGGTCATGTGACTGAATGGACGCATTAACGGTGATTGCTGTAAAATGTACTTTTGATGATAACTAGAAAAATAAATATATAAACAAATAATAAGAAAGGTAAATAATTAAAATACAGTCTGTAGTCCTGTCACTTGACA